TGTTTTGTTTTGGTTTAGCAATTATCGAAGCCTAACTTGTAGCTTCAAAAGTCGTACCCTTAATGTAATAAACATCTGTAAAATAACAACCGTGAAAAGAGAGAGGTTTGAAGATTCTATGGAAGAAATTATGCTCATCTTGTGACTATGCGACCACTTTTATCGCCATCTCGCCGTTTTATCACCCTTTTTTGTAGTTCCTGGCCACTTACTTTTGAAATTTCGAATCGTCCTCCAATTCTTTTTCTTCGTCATTCTTACTTTGCTTCGTCCCGTCGTCACTTCCATCAAAATTCTCGAGGAGAAAAGACCTTTCATCATGTCAACCTGAACTGCTTACAAAGCAGCAATATATTACTTACAACTTGTATAGTTCTTTTGGCGTAAGTCACGTTTGTCCGTAGGGAGTGTTTTTATATAATTGCACCTGTTTTTATACCATTGTTTTTGTTACAGCCTGTTACATTCTTCTTTCTTCCCTTCGCCTTTTCCCTAGTTATTACGTATACCTACTACAATAAAATTTATGTGGATTGAGTATACTCTCATTATTACGCAAGACCCGTGTGACAGTCTATTTATTTATTATGGACTACCACATCATATATGTATATTACAGCATTTAAACATTCAATATACGGTATTACATCTGTTATATATGGCAATTACGGTGTACATAGTATTTACAATAAAGGGGTTAATAAATTATATAAGCTTAAATTATTAATAAGAATCTACTGTTTAGGTTTCAATTTCAAATTATTTTTACAAAAATATCTCGTTGTAAAATTACATAATTAGTTTCATGTAGTTCGTTGTTATTTGTATGATTCATACGATAAAAGCACGATTTATGATCACATGTGTCTTTATTGGACATAACAGTGTATATACTTAACTATTTACATATGATGCAACGTATTTATGAAGCTTGTTATAACAAATTTCGTCGCCATTGACTACTTTTGTGGTCAACAAAAACACTCGTTACAACGGACCATCGAGTAACTCGATGTAAAACCTTTAAATTTGAAAGTGCAAGAATTTAAAAATATCGCTTTAAAACTACCACTCCGACTTGCAGATCCAAATTTGCGCAGACAAGTCTGTGGGGAGATTCTTGGAGAGATTTATTCGGATTGGAATTTTATAACAGCATTTTCCAGTTGTGGAATTATACTCTTTCATGATTGCGCTAAAGGTTTAAGTTTCACGTACGACAATGTTCCTTTTTTTGTTTCAAGTCATCAAGTAACGGGATAAATTAAGCATGCGCCTGGTGGTAACCGACACCCGTAACGGTTGTAATGCCACTCAGAGCTTTAAATCGCAAAGACCTGAGGGGCACTACCACTGCGCCCGTCATCCTAAGATATAACGACTCATCCGTAGAGTAAAGATCTATGTGCAAGACTACTTGTTCTCAGGACATAGTACATTTCGATCGTTCTTCTTCGCTGTGGATGTCAGATCGATCGTTGTTCGTTATTATATTTCCGAAACGAAATAAGATATATAAATTATCAAAACATTTACACGGGCCTTAGTTTGAATAACGAAATCATTATCGTAACGTACTTATTGTCTTTTCACTATATAATCACATCGGACTCTGTTCTTCGGATGAGTCGATAAGTTGACAAGTCCCATGTGTCTATAATTTCACCAGCACCCTTAGAGCGATGCTACATGATGGGTTGTGTCGGACCTGTGACGCCTGCGGTGACGCTGCGATATATTACATATAATCAGGATGATATGGCACACGCGACCAAGGGGCCAGAAGATGAAGCGGAGAGGGGAGCTGTACTGCGCAATGCAGAAAATTCGCAACGCAAAAAACTACGATGCGAATTGCTGCGATGCGATTTCGTGCGGCAAGACATCTCACTGTCACGGTTCGGGTAACCATTCCTTCGACAATCATCAACCGTACTGAACGTATTTTTTAAACAAGGTAGCGACATAGATCGTAAAAAGAATGTTGCACTGCTGTTATTGATAAGAAAGTATAGGAAAACAACACAAAGAAGATTAATATCGCAGGAATGCGTGACGCCATTTGCAAAATTTTTGCGATACGTCGTCGCGTTGCATTACGAAGATGCAACGTCCCGACGCACCGCCCATGGTGAGGCATCGCTCTTATCTTTCAAAGTCAGAACGCAATTACTGCTTGTCAGCAGAAATAGTATACGTAATTTTAAAGAACGTTTTTTTCTATAAACATCACTAACATGGATGGCTCGAAAGTCACTGTTATCGACTAACCACTCTTTGAGACTCTTTGGACATGTAAGATTCCTTGTTCCTTCATAGGGACAAAATTATTTAAATATATTTTACCAGAATTAAACATTATTTATTTGATATGCCAGGCCTTGATACGCCATATATCTCTGGTTACGAAATTGTACGATGAAATCTATGAATGTAATTATAATAAAAATACGTCATTATATTCAAGTACTTATTACAAGAATACGTCCCGAATTTATATAAAGAATTTGCGAACATTCAATCAATTTCGACAAGCAAATCATTGAAATGTACATCAAAGATAATTCCGCGAATAATATCCAACGTGGAGGGAATAACCGAATACGATAAATTCACTTTACGAATGTAAAAGGGATGTGAAGAATCTCATCACTATAAGTATAATGGAATTCGTCGTACTCTTCTCAAAGAAAACAAATTTACATTCCTTGATCGAAAAGAAAATATGGCGTGTCATCCAGTCGGACGAAAACCTTTTTTCACACTTCGTAAAGAAGATACAGCCACCTTATATATTACTAGCTGGTGTCCGCTACTTCGTCTGCGTAAAATAAGACTACGAGTAGCCTACTGTTACTATATTAATTTTCATAGTTTCATTGGTTTTCCATGCAGACTTTCATCCCCTATTTCACCCCCATTAAGATTTATTTTTGTGACAAAAAGCCTAGCCTATGTCCTTCTCCTAGGTCCCATCTATCTATATATATATGTTAGTAGCAGAATAGCTCCTTAGTTATTTTTGCCGCCAAGCAGTAATGTCAACATTACTGTGTTCCGATTTTGAAGGGTAAGGGTGCTGGTGGATTTACAGGCACATGGGATTTGTCAACGTTTCAGGGTGACGGGCGCAGTGGCAGTGCCCCTCAGATTTTGCGATTTAAAGCTCTGAGTGGCACTGCAACTGTTATGGACAGGCGTGTAGCTTACCATCAGGTGCGCAACTTGTTCATTCCAACACTTGATATTATAAAAAAAAATAATTAAAATTAGTTCTGCGGTTTAGGCGTTAAAACCTAATAGACAGACAGACAAAGTAACTTGCGCATTTACATTTCGCATACATACATAATTTCCATTACTAAGTTTGGATTATAATCGTATAGAAGTGATTGTCGTGTGAATGGTAGTTAAATAAAGTGTTCTCTAAATAAAACTGGTAAGACATCAATTTCACTTATAAAGCAATTTGGTTAGTTTTGAAAATAGTTTTGATGTAAATTACAAGCAGCGCCATCTAGGTCCAGCTCTCTCCACAAGGTAAACACCTCATGGACTAGTGACCCCGTAAGCTAGCAGAACACTGTAGAAACTGAAATGGTACTTATGTAACATTTTCATAAAACTGGTAAGACATCAATTTCACTTATAAAACAGTTTGGTTAGGTTTAAAAATAGTTTTGATGTAAATTACAATCAGCGCCATCTAGGTCGTGCTATCGATTTAAAAGCTAGGCTCTTGTTGTTGTGGAGTAAACGCCATTCAGGCCTCTGTGACGTTATTTGATTGACCTATTGCTACGTAGGGTTAAGAAAATTAAACTAACGACTAAGGGTTGAAGTAGAGACAGTTAGGTGATAGGGTCGTGAAAGCTATGTGCTGATTCATCTAGTTTACGTATCAAGTTTCGCCACAACTTGCGTTTGATAAGTCACACATTAGCGTAGTTATGTGTTTGGATTTAAAAGTACAGTCGACCGAGTTGCACTTCATTTAAACGTAATAAGAGTATTCGTGTAACACTTTAGTAGCAGTAGAGCTACTTACATATTTCTGCTGCCAAGATTGTAATGTGAGCATTACTGCGTTCTGGTTTTGAAAATGTTATTGGTGAAATAACAGGCACATGGGACTTATCAACTTATGTAAACAATAATAACACACACACTCAACATAGCCCCGTACTAGGGAAACCCTGTGTCGCGGGTGCCATGGACACACATATAGACAACCACAATTTACACCCAAACTCACGAGAGAAACAAACGTAGGTCATACAAATATTTCTCCCGGCCCGGGAATCGAACCTGGGACCTCTGCGTGGCAGTCCGGCAAGGTAACAGTTCGGCCACAGAGGCAGTTCAGTTTGTATCAGGGTGACATGCGCAGTGGCAGTGCCCCTCAAATCTTAGCGATTTAAGGCTCTGAGTCGCACTGCCACTGCTATGGACAGGCGTGTCGCTTATCACAAGAAGCACGATTTGTTCGTCCCGTCACTGGTTATCATAAAAAAAAACATTATCAAAAAACTTAGGTCGTAATTTGTCAGTTTCCTGTTAAATTATATAGTTACAAAATTATACAGGCTCGGCAACTAGTAATTTTCAAACAAAAACATTATTCCAACTTAACGCTAGATATTTTCTACAGATTTTGGAATTCCATAAACTAAGGAAAAATATTAAATACCATACATTATAATGAAAAATATTATCTACACATAGGAAATGAAACTAGTTTTCCGGATTTAAATCGCGTATATTTGTTTTTTCAAACAAACGGTTGACTGTGTTAACCGTGACCATGGGACCTGTAAAGGGCCCGAAGCGTCGACGCGATTTAAATCCGGAAAAATAGTTTCATTTCCTATGTGTAACAATCGCGAAAACCTAAGAACTCGATAAATATTATCTACAAATGAAAAAAAGAAATATAAAAATTGAGCGTCCAAATTACCAAATTATTAATATTAAATACAAGTAACAACAAAAAATTTCAGAACTCAATGGAGTGGGTTATGGCGCGGGCTGATGACATTCTCAACTGGGGCCGCAAAGGCTCCCTGTGGCCTTTGACCTTCGGGCTCGCATGCTGCGCTCTGGAGATGATACACTATGCTATGCCAAGGTAAAAATATGTCAAAGTGATTTATTCATTCAAAATAATAAATCGATGTTTAATCTGATGAGAATACTAAACCGAACTTAGCACGTAAGGCGTAAAGAAGAAACAGACATAGCAGAATCATAAAAGCCTTAGGAGAGTTGTATATGTACAAAACTATATTGCAAATAAAAGAATAAATGAATTTTTTTAAAGAAATTATTTGCTCAGTTTGTATTGACGACGGTGGCCTAACGATTTACATTGTGGGCGCTGGATGCGCAGGCCTCTGGTTTGATCCCCAGTGGGACTAAATGGAGAAATCAACTTTTCTTAATTGATTTTTTTTTTAGTATAAAAGCTAAGTGGCGGGAACAAGTCGTGTGCCGTTAAATCGCAAACCTCTGAGACATAAATTGACAAGTCCTATGTGCCTGTAATTTCGCCAGCACCCTTCCTTCCAAACCGGAACGCAGTAATGCTCACAATACTGCTTGGCGGCAGAAATAGGTAAGGTGGCAATTCTTTCCTGGACGAACTCTTTCACAAGGAGCTCTACTGCTATTACTGGTTCTAGTCTGGATGTTCGTCACAGAATTCCGTTGCTCTGGTGTTCATAATACAGGGAATTCCCTAGTTTGAGAGCAGGCAATTGGTGTGATTATCTAGCACATATTACTTTACTAGCCTTTTTTAATAAATTGATTCCTACCAACAATTTTATGGCACTGGCAAATCGTCCAAGGTAAAAATCTGAACAAGGCATTGCAGATGTTTTAAACACAATAATATAACGCTTTATATTTAGTTAGCCACTATGTTAGATTTAAAAGTTTCTATCAATGAAAAAGGAAAAACGACATCCAGTACATTACGGAAACCGGAAACCACTGATACAGCAGACACATTCATAGAATAACCAATCAGAGAACACAAACAAGATTACCTTAGTTTTGTTCATTTCATAAATAGAAAAAGGTACAGTTTATACAAAGATATACAAAGATACCTGATCCCCGTAACCGATCTTTTGGTTATGAGAACATTGTTATGCATTCTACTGAAAAGAGTTAAAGGGATTCCAGCTTCTTGGTTCAACGTTATAAATCGTTTTAAATAAATATACGTTAAAAATCAAACTGGCTTAAAAAGTTTCTTAAAACATCATTCACTAATTATACAATCTGGGAGTCATACTAAGGTACTCTGGGCAAATAAAGCCCTAAAACTATATTTCAATTCATTACAACGGCGTGATACTGTGTGTACGTTTAGAACGGACCAATATATACTAGTATACCTTACAATTAATTTTATCGCGTATAGTAATCAAACGGTCTAGTAGTTACTTCGCAGACTTAAAGAAACTAGAAATGTGTTAACATTACCAGGCCCGAAGTTTGTGAAATGCCAATTAACCGCGTACCTGAAATCAAAATAAGAATTTGTTAGAAAAAGCAAATAAAATTATGTTTTTTTGGACTATTACTTGGAATATTACTGCTCTACTTATAAAAAGTAAAAAAATGTCAAATGTCAATGAAAAAAAAAAATTTTTTTTTATATATAATTAAAATAAGTGCTCATTTGACCTCCATCTCACCAGATGGAAAGTGATGATGAGGTCGACGATGTAGTATGCACACCTAAATAATTTTTAGCAAAATTGAGTTATTAACTATATCCGGGATAAGCAAAATTACGAGATCTACAACCCCCCTTTAACCGGGTTTTTAATATTTTATTTAGTTTCAGTTTTATTGTTAAGCTAAATCAGCACCATTGACCAATGTCAATTGTCAGCTAAAAACAATTTTTTAGTATTGTCATCTAACAACAATTTTTTAGGTGACAATAAAACTTCAGGTGACCATATCTCGAAAGTTATGACAAGGATTAAGTCAAAAACTAAAAACCATTTAAGCGTGTAAAATACAAACTTAATTTCAAATAGTCAACTCAAGATTTTGGCTCATAATGCCATACCATTGAATGGTTATCAGAAATGCTTTGTTCAGAAATCACAGTTCACGACACGTTTGAAAAGGTCGTCACGATGCAGCATTCCGTTCAAACGATAGAAAAAGTATTAATATATAGCGAAGACGATGTTCTGTTTGCCTTTTATAAATATTTAAGTCAATGTCGTTTGAGTCAGACATGATATTTGATATGTGGTTTAATTTGTGTGTAGTCGTTGCACAACACATCCATTTGAGTGTATCATCCAATTAATGCTTTAGTCATGTGCCTTTGCGTACTGTGATGAGAACGACTTCTATTGCTGTCAAGATTAATTAATTTTAAAATGTACTGTGTTGATTGAAAGGCATCAAAATTATCAAGGATTATTTTGAGGAAAGTTAAGATTGCTGCAATTTACGTGACATAAGTGATATAAATTATACATGATATAAGTGACGGGACGAATAAATCGTGCGTCTGGTGATAAATGACAAGTCTACTCGTAACAGTTAATTGCAGTGCTATTCAGATCTTTAAATTGCAAAGACCGGAGAGGCACTGCCACTGCGCCCAACACTCTGAGACATAAAGTTGACAAGTCCCATGTGTAAGCTAAATATAACACTGCTAGGACCTTTAGGAGATTATTCCTATCAAGAAAACACTAAATAAATCTTAACTCTTTTTATTTCGTAATAATCTTACTGACCACTACAAATTCGAATCAAAATGTGTCGTACCACAGACAATACAAAAGTTTAGTTTTGATCGATATGCGGAATCGAGTATAATTGATTTAAAATAATGTTTCTATATTACGTCAAGTAAATCGTTCAACAATTGTGCCTGTAGTTACACCAGGACTCTTACCGTTTAAAACCGGAAAGCAGTAATGCTCACATTACTTCTTCGGGGTAAAAATATGGTTTGGTGACAGTACTTCCCTGGACGAACTCTTTTACAAGGTCCTCTATCGGGGTCCTCTATATAAGAAAGATAGTCTTATTCAAGAACCTACTTGTACAGCATCAGAAAAATAATCCTTTTCGGTCCGTCTTTCAGATATGACATGGATCGTTATGGTATGGTGTTCCGTGGTACGCCCCGACAAACTGATGTCATCATTGTCGCGGGTACCGTGACCAATAAGATGGCCCCGGTATTTCGCAAGACGTACGACCTGATGCCTGATCCTAAGTGGGTGGTTTCAATGGGCAGTTGTGCCAATGGTGGTGGATATTACCACTACACATATAGCACTGTCAGAGGAGCCGACAGAATTGTTCCGGTAAGAAATTTTTGTTTTCCGATATATTAGATAATTTCATAGAAGAAGCGGATGTACCGCATAATGTATTCATGTTATAAAATTGGTTGGTTTTTCGAAATCTTAAAGGGTGTCGAAGTGTAGATTACCGTAATGTGCGCGAGCACTTACTTTATATACATTTTATAGTTTTTTTTCCTTTTGAATTTGTATTCTTTTTGACGTTATGTTTTTTAACCGACTTCAAAAAAAGGAGGAGGTTCTCAATTCGACTGTATGTTTTTTGTATGTATGTTACGCGATAACTTCGTTATTTGTGAACCGATTTTCATGATACTTTTTTGGTTGGAAAGAGGGTACCTCCATAGTGGTCCCATTTAATTTTGAAGAAAATAAGAAAATCATGCACCTTTAAGGGTGGCTGTTCACGCTTGAAGATTCATTTTTAAATAGCGCCTAAATTTTATTATAAGATGCAATTATTTTAATGGTTGATTTTGCTATTCTCCAATTCAAGGCGTTTTTCTCTCTCAAGTAGTGAGAACCGATTTTTAGTATCATCTCCTGTATCAAGTCCCGTGTAGTAGCGGACTAGGGGATGAATCCGAGTTTGCGCACTTTCGGGTAATCGATTGCAATAAAACTTGGTAACTATATGTAATTCCACGTACTTTTGACTTTCTTTGGTTTTTTTATTGATATTCAGTTGTTGTCATACAAATCGTTACAATATTCGTTCACAAAAATCCCAAAGGTTGGATTTCTTCCCTTTCTCCCAATCAAAATCACAACGCAAGCGTCTCGCCAACAGCGTACCTTACAAGTACAAACTAAAAATGAAATATTGAAAATTGGAAACCCTAAAAGATATTTCAAAGAATGGAAATAAATGGGTATTAGCTTTCGAGAACCCTTTTCAAAGAAGTTTCCCAGAACTACAAAGAGGTCAGAGTTATTCAAAACTGTTCATTCGAATTGCGTTTTCGTTATCGGAGGCACTCGGTGTTAAAAATGTCAAGCGTGACTGGATTTTAACCAAAGATATTGCTTTCCAGGTGGATATATATGTACCCGGCTGCCCGCCGACGGCTGAAGCCCTTTTATATGGCATGCTACAGCTCGGTAAGAAGGTGAAACGCATGAGGGTTTGCATCAGTTGGTGGCGTCATTGATTTCGTTTACGTGACCGCGTTATGTCGTTAAAATTAAATTATGGTTCTTTTTTAACTTCCAAGTTTTATTTGGAGTTTACAAACGGGTTGTAAGGTACCATAGAATCACAAAACACAAACATCTGTTTACGTTACATTGAAGGTGTGATTGTTTAAACATGCTGAAGCAATTATTTAGGGTTTCTTCTCATTATCGTTTAATAAGCAACTCGTTCAAGTTCTCAAGAAATAAACAATTGACAAACAGATAAAAACATTAAAACGCAAGAGGGACATAGAGTGGTTACACACGGCGGATTTATAGGCGATTGCATATAGGCAATCGCGCATTTGTATCGATGCAGTCGCGCGCTAGCATCGCGTTGGCATCGCTGCTTAAAATCGCGCGTGTATAACCGCTCTTAATAAATAAATAAGTCGGCGAACTACAAGCTAGGTTTATAGTTGAGATTACTAACGGTCTTATCATCTGTGGTATAGAGTTTAATTTAAATTTCACTGTAAAAGTGAACGTGCCGTACTACGGACATATTTGTATACACAAATCAATGGTTCAGTAAGAAGTAACGACTTCCTTTCATGCATTAATTAGTCCTTAACGAGGTCCTGACGCGAAGTTCCGGCATTGTAAACAACTGACTGTCTCAATAATTCACTTAGGGACATCTGGCTCAGATTCACGATGAAGATATAAAAAAAATATAAATAAACGTGGCAATCACAATTCGACTTGACCGCACTGTTATTACCTTTGATAAATACTTCGTCTAATAGCTAACTTCATCAAATGCTTCAATGGTGGTCATGTAGATAAGATTTTGTAAAGAGAGTATAGATGGAAACGTGAGTATAGGTAGACCACGACGTACATATCTCGATCGGATAAGTAATGTCCTTAAAAAGGCCAGACTAAAAATAAAAAGAATAAATGGGCAGATAATTTGGCGTCAGAAGTGGGATAGAAATTTAAAATAATTTTCTTAATTTCGTTTTAAAGTAATTTTAAAGGACCTACTCACCCAAAAACCAGAACTAAAATAGTTTTATTTAAACATATTGATGCGTGTAGAGGAGGCAAAAGGAGCCATGAATCTCCTCTCTCTCTCTGCCTACCCTTGCGCGAGATAGGCGTGATGGTATGTATGTAAATATTTCATCAAAGAAGTTTATGATTCATTCAGATCTTTTACGTCACAAGCAGTGGGTATATTTGATGGTCAGGGACAAATTTTACTGTGTTTTTCTCTTGTGCATTTTATTTTTTCACGATCGAGCGAAATCACGAGCCAGCTGTCGTCACAATATGAAACGGTTATTAGTTTAAAAACGTTTTCCCCAGTCAGGCTGAATGTTCGCCAGAAACGTTGCGAAAAGGGCTTTATTTTAGATGACGATAGAGCGTATTTTAAAGTGACGTGGAAATCTCAAAATAATAAAATACCATTAGTGGATGAAACACGACTCTTCGTTCCGGAAAGAATAAAATCGGTTGACATACATAAATGTCACGTCCTTTTCCCATCGGGGTAGTTCTTTCACTTTGTACGGTCCTGACACACCTTTCGCCTCATCAACATGCATCAGTGCTTTCATACATGATCGTCAGTTCAGGGCACTCTTGACCTGATCTTTCTTTAGGACGTCCTCCATTTGGTCATCGTAAATTCACCTTGGTCGACACTTACCAACCTGTCCGTTAACACTCGCCTTATAATCTTCTTTCATTCATAGTCTCCACGTGTCCGAACTATCTAACCAATTAACCGTTTAAAATCAGTTTACCAAACGTCCAATGTCATCTGATGTTAAGCGACAATGTTTCGTGTTTGTTCAGCCGACGCCTATTCACTCTCTCTCAGCCTTGAAATTGTAGCTCTCGGGAAACACATACCATCATCATCATAAGATCGCCACAATGACCGCTCTTATGCTGCTTGCATCCAGCGGATTCCCTCAACCTTTATCAGGTCCTTGTGGGTGGGCCCTTTGGCCCCGTCGGCCAAATCTGTTTTGCGAGCAATGTTTATACATATGTATTCATTATGCAGTTATTATGTATGATTTCATTGCCGGCATAAACCGGCAATGAATTCCTCCATACGCATCAGGAAAGATGCTAGATCTAGCCTGGCCATGGAAGCAAAACAAATTAGACTAAATAATTATCCATATTTGCAATCCATGACCCGACTGAAAACCAGGTCACCGGCACATCAATTGTACAACTGATTGATAGACGGGTTGACCCCAATCTGATACGGACAATTTTGTGACATTCAAGTCCGTTCTTGATTTATTGAAATAGGTAGTATTTCAATAAATCAAGAACGACGAAGATATTCCGACGACTTCTCCCTGGATCAAAAGTGCTCTTTTGTACCAAATATTACACAAAAGCACTGCAAAGTGGAATGTTTTTTATCAGACTTGGGGTCAATTACTAATTGCAGAATTCTTCTGATGTCTAAAAATATTTGTGTGCCCAAGTGTGTATACGATTACGTTGAAATATTTTGCTATATCTTTCCTAAGATTCATAGTTAGAGCACAAGCATTCGAATAATGATTGAAAAAAAGAAAGAAGGTAACGAAATCCCTGAACAACACGAAACTATCGAAAAATAGCAACTCGAATCCTTCCTAAGCAATATAAAGAAAGTTATGATAAAATAAACATACAAGAGCTGTTTACAAGGGTCATAGGGTTCAGCTTTTTTCTTGAACCGTCATTTAACAATGAGGTCGTAACGTTTTATTATCCGGGGGCTAGGTAATAAAATGCGGAGGGTGTTAATCCTCTGGTCTCGACTCTTGAGAAGATCTTGGGCTTATACGCTATAGGTGATTTTCTACTGTTAAGGCGACAAGGTAACTAACTAGAGCTTTGACGTCTGTTGTCAATTAGATATCTCTGCACGAAAATTAGTAAAACAGAATACTTATGGATCATTTTCGTCTTCATTTCATACGTATGTGAGTATCGAATTTGTCGTGTCCAATTTTAAATTTGACTTACTGATTTCTATTTCTAAGCACTATAAAAGCCCTCGAACTAAGCACGGGTAATGACAAACTGATAATATTACTGCCTATTACGCAATAGTAATCATCATATATTGCAACACATGGTAACACCGTGAGAATTGTCTAGTTACGTGAATCAATTCTGATCTCGATAATACATAATCGAAGACGTAATAACATCAACTAATAAACTCGATGAATTGATTGAGACGTGATGGATGACACAACGAATGTGATTTGCCTTAAGTACAGGAACTTGGTCGTTAATCGAGTAAAACCTACAGCTAAACGTTGTGTGGGAAGCCATCAGCCAAATGAACCGACGATCTCATTGAGATAGTAGGGAGTCGCAGGATAAGGAAGGGGCAAAACCACATTGCTGACGACGCTGTGACGCAAATAAACTAGGCAAATATCGAGAAGTGTATGGTAAACGCAGACAGCAGAGGTCTACAGTTAAGCGCATAAAAAATCTTAATGGTGTCTGGAGTTATAATATACTTTAGCTGACGTAAAACAAGTTTTTCTTTTTCATTTCCGGGCATATTTATATTCGTTTACAATGTATCTCCGGTACTTTTTATTTTATGCTTCCGCTCAGGTGCAAAGTAAACTTGAATTACAATGAATCATCATATACGATACCTCACAGTGTCTGCAAGCCGTCTGGTTCGAGCTTCCTTGACCCAGCAAATGTCTTGCGACGATAATTACATTTAATGACGGTATTCGTCACAGAATAGACACCTACTATTATTATTTCTGATACTCCGACATCGATGATTGTGTCTTTATCAGTTTCATAACTGACTATATGTGTTATTTCACACTTGTCTTTGTAAAGCTTTAATTCTAGAACAAAAGCACATAACTAAAAAATGCTTCATTAGCAAAGTATGTTGTTCCGTGTTGCTTATAATGCCAGAAAGCGGGAAGACACTGCTAGAATTTCAGTTGAAACAAATTAATTTCACTTAAGTACTTAGTCGGTCGATGTATTGATTTAAATGAATGATATTGGTTTTTGACTAATGGATACATAGATGCAGGAATTACTTTGCTGAAGTCCATGTTACTAAAAGTGGATGTAAATTAATTATTTTTCATGCAGTTCTTTCTTCACAAGCGCACCTACAGTCACAGATCCGACAAAAAATATACCCGACACGTGTTTCGCCTCTCTACGAGACATCCGCAGGAGTTGTTCATTGTTCGACACTTAGCCGAAGAAAAATCATTCAATCATTCTTCGGCCGTGCTTCGCAGGTTCGCGGAGTAGCATATTAATTTATTAGCACTTTTATTAATGTGCTTTTGTTCGCCGACCCCAGAATTAGTCGCAGTACGGGGCAGTTTCTAGGTTGAATAGATATGAAACACGAAATAGATGCCCACGTGTGTTTGGAAGGAATAACTTAACATTATGTCACCATATGAAAGAGACATTTAGAGCCCTAAAACAGGCTTGTCGACGGAACTACACTTCAAACTGAAAAGAGCAAGGGTGGGAAAATCCGCAGTGTAAACAATTTCGGCTATAAAAAGAAACCGCCTGAAACAGGGGTTGCCTTATCAGGCCAACATATCGCCAGTTACCTAAAAATAAAACCGCAAGTCCAAAAATAACTTTCATTTAAATAGACCGTAGATTTACGTAAAACTGAAATCACGCACGTTCCGCGTAAAGTTGGACAGTAAACAAATATATCAGAATATTAAGTTTGACTGTTATCTAACGCTGAATTTGCTACTATTAGCGTAAATTGTTAAGTTGCATGTGTTTGTTTTTGTTTTGCATTATGTGTTATGGATGTTACACACATTACGTTGCTTGTTTACGACGACAATTTACTTTGTTTTACCTATTGCACGCCGGCTTCTGTACCTCCTTGTTTGACCCCGCATTTAAATTCATAGTTATTTGGTACACACTCTCTATAACTCACTGACCCTGGGATTTTTCGTGCTTCGTTTTATATTTTGAAAATGAAACTATTTTTATCTGATCTGAATAACAAAA